TCGTATATCCAACCTCTTCGCATATCCGCCCACATTCCCCAACGAGTCCGGATATAGACGACGTTGTACGGCCGTGCGCGTTACTGTAACGCTTCGCTGGCTTCCTCCTGCTCCAAAGACAAAGATCCTCCATATAGCCTTCACAGACTGTTGGGGCAAGTGCTGTTAGCTAGCACCTATGAGGGAGTTTAACACGTAGGCTTTCGCGACCAATATTATTCATAATAAAGGTTTTTGGGTAAGATCGCGTTATTTATAAATGTGTCGTAACCCTCCACCACCCGAGATGGCCAAACAGTAAAACATGTGTCTCGTTTACAAAGGACAAATAGTTCACTACTTTAGCCCACCGGTGTGTTGAAGAGTGAATCAACATCATTTAAAATTTGAGTACGACGTTTCGCTGGCAATTACATCCAACATCATCGGGCAATTCGCCAGAATGGTAAAGCCCTCACTTGCTCCCGGTCTTAAATATAGCAGCAGGGTGACGTCATCACTTAACTTATTCAGGTGCAGTGATTTGAGGCGGAGGGGGGGGTATTGTAATTATATAATCGATTGGTAATCAGTCAATGGTTATGATTAGTAATGAGTTGTATATTAGTAATTAGTTGTAATGTGTTATTGTGATTATATGCTACGTTAGTAATCCGTAAATTAGTGTTTCCCCTATGAGGAATTGATGATGCTGGATGTAATTGCCAGCGAAACGTCGTACTCAAATTTTAAATGATGTTGATTCACTCTTCAACACACCGGTGGGCTAAAGTTGTGAACTATTAGTCCTTTGTAAACGTGACACATTTTTTACTGTTTGGCCGTGTTGGGTGGTGTGGAGGGTTACGACACATTTATAAATAACGCGATCTAACCCAAAAACCTTTATTGTGAACCTATGAGGGAGTAGGTGGCCAGCACCACGCCCGACCGCCTTTTTCTTCCCAGTGCCGATTATTTTAACACAGAGCACCAGGTACTCATTTGAGGCTGAGTCGACCTAGGGGAGGCCCAGGACCGGGTTCCGATAATCGCCACCGGTGTTGTTGGCCGTGAGCGGAAATCGAACTCAGGTCGCCGGGTTCGTAGCGCAGCCACGCTAACCGCTGCACCACCGCTCCCCACTCCACCACCGCCACTGCTGCTGCAGGCCCCCTCATCTCTCTCGCACTGAAGAGAGACGACCATCATCGCTCATCATCATCATCCTCACCGCCATCATCATCATCACCACATCCCACCCCCCCCCCCCCCCCCCCCCCCCCCCCCCTTAGGCGCGTCGTACACACACGGCCTCGGGAAGCGCTTGAAAGAGGAGCCATTTCCAATAAAGATTTTGGCAAAATAGAAAAACGCGATCTTGGCCAGTGGGGGGTGGTGGTGGTGGTGAGGGGTAGTGGAGTGGAGTTACAAATTCCAGCTCATTGCCAAGAAACCCCCGAGGAGGAGGAGGAGGACCCAGCGCGTTGCTGGCGCTTTGCACGTGCCCCGGTCGACGATGTCCAGCGGACAAGACGCAAGACACGCGCGCGTTTAGCTCGTTCTCCTTCCCCCTCCACACTTGGCTACGTACGGCGCGAAAGAAGTTATACATACGTAGGTCGATCCGACGATCGGTCGATCCATCGATCTTTTATTATAGAACAAAATAAAAAAAATGCCGCCTTACTCACGTGTTGTCTTTTGACATGTAAAGTAGGAAGTTTTTTTGTTTTATTTATTCCATATCTGCTGTACATCAGACTCGTTCGATGATATTGGACGGTTACAATCGTACCAGATCAGTCCTGCACACAACTTTTCTACACACAATGTCTGCACGTACAGTAGGCAACGTGGATCCGACTGATTATGGGCGTGAGTGTGTCATATTTTCTCTCTCTCAGCCAAGTCTTGCCAGGATTCGACTGTCTTCGGACGGGTGCAGCGCTTTGCTCAGGGTGTGTGATCACATACAGACGTCGGTGATGAAGAGCTTCGTCGCTTATCGGATTCATCCCGTCGAAGTAAACAATTAGATTGTGACACACTTTTGTGCGCTAACGGCACCTGGGCCAGCCGCCTTGACACGAGTGTCGAGCGATAGCCGAAGCAGTTCGTCCGAACCCTTCACTAGCCCGCACTGACCAGCATGGTGAAGTATGGTCAAACAACTCCCCCACCCCATGACTGACATGGCGTAGGGAAGGATTTCATCCAGCAGTAGATTGACAAAGGACCATCAATCCATTGCTCAATATGTTTTTAAGGATTCTATGGCATCTCCTCCCTGGTGCATAGCGTGCCCGCGAACACATCTGTAAGTGATTTTAATTTTTGTGTGTGTGTTGCTGCAGGGACGACCTCATTTTATTTGAGCTGCATCGCGTCTCGTGCGTAATTAGGGTGCGGACAGATGGCACGTTGGGATTTGGAGCGGGTCAGCCACACGTGTGTTATATTGCACAGTTCCGCACGTGTACATGTACAGCCTACGCGACATGCGGCTGATTTAATTACGGATCTGGCATTTCGAGGGATCTTTATTTTTTTTTAAAGATGCTAAATATTTCATTAACTCATCCACACCTGTCACCAAATCACCCCGAACGCGAGCGACCCCATCGAGACCTCGGCGTACCGAAGTAGCTTCGGGCCTGATCACCAATAGGATGACGGATGGCTGGGAATGACCAGGTGCTTGCCGTAGCCTTGCGTGAGCCGCAAGTTGGCCAGGAGATGCGAGTACATTTCATTACAACTTGGTCACATTTTCCAAGGGAGATCTGAGTACAAAATCACAGCAGTGGAGTCTTTGAATCCATCTGTACATGTGGATGATGCGGTGTCTCTGTCCCCGTGGTCGCGTGGATTTTTCTCCGGCCCCTCCGGGTTTTTCCCCTCCGCGTTTAGAAACAAGAACATCACGCGCTTGGAGTATTTGTCAGCGAAACATTTGCACACAATCAGCCACTTCGTGGAGCTATCATTTGTGATAGCCAGGTCGCTTCTGAAGAAGAGCACCTACATAGCAGCTCAGTCGGCCTTACATGGTAAAATAAAAAATATAGTTTAGTTGGCTTTGAGCGTCACGCACGTAATCCGTGTGATGGGTTTCCCTCCAGGTGTTCCAGTTTCCTCCGAAAAACACGAAGCAAAGCCCTCTATGAACGCGGGATTTGCTGAACATCTTAAAAAGGCACGACCCTTCCTAAAAAATACAACCTTGAGACTCACAGCGAGGCTCTCAGAGGGGGTTAACCAATGGACATTGTTATCATAATCACCACCACCATTATCATCATCATCATCACCCGCTGCTGTTGTTGTGAATGCGAGTTACCTGCCGCGTGCCACGGGGGAGGCGACCGATCATTAAGCGGCGCAGCTGTTGGCGATTAACTCCAAAGCGGGATCGGTCGGTCGGTTCGTCCGTCAGCGTGACAACGCCCCCCCCCCCCTGCCCAGCCCCCCCCCCGGCATGCCCCCCCCGGCATGCCCTCCCACCACCCCCGCTCAGTGGGGGGGAGGGGGCATGGGGGGGGGGTCAGACTCCGCAGGGACCGTGGGAGCAGAGATAGCGACCTCGAGGCACACCACGCGACACACCCATAGCCCTACCACGGCCTAGAGACTCCCCGTTTACCTTGAGCCGAGAAAAGGTGAATGCGCGGCCCTGCAAACGCCTTGCTCGTGCCACTGCTGGATGGGATGGCCTCAGCTCGACAGCCGCCCCACTTCCACATGGCCTTTACGCTTCCACACTGGAAGATGTGCGAGTACCCACCGCACGTCACCCCCCACCGCACGTCACCCCCCACCGCACGTCACCCCCACCGCACGTCACCCCCCACCGCACGTAGCCCCACCGCACGTCACCCCCCACCGCAAGTCACCCCCCACCGCACGTCACCCCCCACCGCAAGTCACCCCCCACCGCACGTCACCCCCCACCGCACGTCACCCCCCACCGCACGCGGCCTACTGGGGCGCCGGGGGACGTGAGAGACTGGCACAATTGCTTCAGCTGCCGAGCCGGGAGATCGAACCCGGCGGCCTCTGGGTAGCGAGTCAAAGCATGAGAGAACCGTGACGCCGACGGCGGCGTGCGCTGGGTGACCGTAGCAGCCCGAGAGGCCGTCGTCTCCCGGTCACTCTTGACAATTTACTGGATGTCTGTGAAAAAAAATATAACTTTATAGCTCATCGGATTTCCCCGGTATAAATACACTTTCTGATTCTCATCCGAATTGCATTTTGGCTGCTGAATGTGCCAGTGTGTGGGTCGAGGATCGTGGGTCGAGGATCGTGGGTCGAGGATCGAGCATCGTGGCTTTAGATCGGCACCAGACGCGATCCGTGAGAGGCCAACGGGGGAACAAAAAAAATTCACGGCCACGATTCACGGAAAGAGTAAAAAAAAAACCCTCAGGTCCCGTGAGAACCACCCCGAGCCAACAACAATAATATCTACATCGTGAACGTCCTCTTTCTACAAGGGATGGCAAAAAAAAAAACCTGTAAAAAATACAAAGCACAGAACCCTCTTTTCAACAACATCGAAGCAGTTGGCAAGAGCGTTCTGGGCAAGATCCCAAGCGTGAACGACCCCAAACGCTACGGCTGTAGCGAATGGGCCCCCCCCCTCCCCGGGCGAACCGATCGACCGTCTAACATTCGGGAACCGTGGTCCGACACAGGAACCGACTCGATGTGCCTCGTGGCACGTCGGCCCAATGTTCGCTCCGGCCACTGCAGACAGTCTCCGGCTCACAGCACTTGTCGGCTTTCGTCTTGATTATTGCAACGCCCTTCCTTACTCGGATTTCAAGCAAACACCTCGGCAAAACTACAGCTGTCCTCGGCGTTAGTGCACGGCGATGAGGCTTCCATGGCCACGCTAAAAACCTTGCACTGGCTCCCCATCGACTCAAGGATAGAGCACAGCAACGCGATACTGTGCCACCAAGCCCTCTGCGGCTCTCTCCAAGTCTCGCCACGTACCTCTCAAACCTTTTCACTCAACTGGCCGCGGCAAAGCACCGCGTCCTACAGAGCGGATATAACGATCCGCTCGTCGTGCCCAGAACCAGGAGTGTCCTCCTGGCTTAGCGGCGTTCCACCGTAGCTGCACCGACAGCTATCTTGAACTCTGACCCACTGCACACACACGCAGCAGCAGCAGCATCCAATCGTCCACCTTCAAGCAGCGGCTCAAGGCCTTCGCCTGCCGAGGCCCTGGCCTGCCCGGGCCCTCGTCCACGCGGGCTCTCGCCTGCCCGGGCCCTCGCCTGTTCATCCTAGCGTACGAGAGAATTTTGAGCTCTGGTTCCACGCCATTCCAATTCTCGATCGAACACTGCCTCCGATGCGCGAAGTATGTGTGCATTATAAATTGTGTTTATTATTATATACATGTACATCTTGATCCTAGGAACTGATATGAGCCGTGATAAAGCGCACGCCGATTTCCCGAGCGGGGAGCAAATTGAGAGGGGCGGCAGCTGCCAAAGTGGCGGCAAATAAAGTGCACGCGAACCGCACTCTGAAGGATAATATCTCAAATATACACACGTATATCATTTTTATGTATATAACTTATATATATTTTTTGTAATATGTAAATAACTAAGCTATTTAGAAACGCGTGTGTACATAGGGTCACGAAATATCTGCACGGTCGCACGAATAATCACTCATTGTCTTATTCTAAGCCCGGCCTGTGTTAGGACAGGGTGTGCACCACAGAATTCGTCCCCAAAAGATCAAACAAAATCTAAATGGCTCGACACGTCAGGAACAAATGGACCAATCGGCATGCGTGCTGCCCTCCTCTCGGGGAAGGTTTTCTCCGATTCCCAATGTCGGTGACCCACCACGATATACCTTACCACTTTAACACGCAGGAGGCTTTCGCGAACATTATCATCCACAATACAGGTTCGATCGCGTAAATATATAAATGTGTCGTACTCAGATTGTAAATGTTGTGGCTTGGCTCTCCAACACACCGGTGTGGCTGTACTAGTAACGAATTGGTAATTGGCTGTGTAGGTTGGTGGCGGATTTAATGACACATTTATATATTTGCGCGTTCTAACCCAAAAAACCTCTATTATAAACCTTATCACATTTGCCAATCGGCCGTGTTGAAAGTAAGTCGTTACACGCTGCAAATGCCAGACGGTTGGCAACGCATCCCACGTCACATAGGACCTCGCGCGCATGTACGCGAGCGTCCCGTGCGAAGCGTAACAGTGGCGAGCACAGGTGGTGCCATCCAGCCGTCGGTCATCCCGGGCAGTTAAGCCACAACACTTGGGTCTCTCTCCGTGGCCTCCTGTCCCAGGGAGCTTTCGACACGTCGCGTAACTTCCTCGAACCGCACTCAGCATGACACAAGCGCCACGGTGGCAAAACACGTCACATCGTAGCAAACGGCTCGCACGCACGCACACACACGCACACGAGAGCTATCTCAATTTAATTTAAATGCGCGCTCTCCAGCTCACGTTGGGTACACACGCGTGCAGTACGCGCATTCACGCGCACAGCAACGTCTCCGTTTTAATGCAAAGCGGCACTCCCTACGTCACACGGCGGACGTGTTTACCAATTATCGGGCGAATTCGCCGTTCGAATGGAGAAAATGCGGCGATGCGGACCGTGGGTGGTGGTGGTGGTGGCAGCTCGCGAGGGTCCACCGTGCCAACGCGCTGCACGCCGCTATGGCGTATCGCCGACCATCGGGGCCTCCTCCGACGGGGTCGCGAGCGGATCCGGCGGGGTCGCGAGCGGTTCCGGCGTCGGAGCAGACGCCTCCTCGCCGCCAGACGTACTCTGATCGTAGGCCCGTGCCCCCGCCGCCACCGTTGCCGGCAAATCGGGGCCAACCGTCCCTGGCGGAGAGTCGGTGCCATCCCACGCATCCATGGCAGTTTCCGACGCGTCTTCAAATTCCGGCTCGGAGGGTCCCGGGTCGCCGGGCGGCCCGGGCCAGCCCGGCGCACCGAGAGGGCCGACTATGCCGGGGGGGCCCACGTCGCCCTTCTGGCCAGGCATTCCCATCTCTCCCGCGGGGCCCGGGGGCCCGACAAAGCCCGGGGGACCCTCGGGGCCGTGAATGCCGGCCGGGCCGCGTTGGCCCGGATCGCCAAACAGACCCTCCTCTCCTTTGAGCCCCTTGGGTCCGTCGGGCCCCACGAAGCCGGTAACTGCCGTGTCCCCCTTCTCCCCCCTTTTGCCGGGGGTTCCTCTAGGGCCTGGCAGGCCCTGCACCCCCTCCTGGCCAGGCAATCCCAAGACGCCTCTCTGCCCGGGGCGTCCTGCGGCGCCCTGGTCTCCGACGTCGCCCTTCTGGCCCTGGTGGCCCAATGCCCCCGAGGGGCCCGTGTCACCAACCTCACCATGGGGCCCTGGCAAGCCTTGGTGGAGACAAAGAGAGGAGAAATGCACGCCCACAATTACAGTGGTATCCACGTTACGTCTACGTACAGACAGTGTGTGCTGACAGTTGTGTGCGAGACTGATCTGGAAATATTGTTATCATCTAATGTTATAATCGAACGAGTCTAATGTACAGCAGATATGGAATCAAAAACTTATACTTACACGTCGAAAGACAAAACGTGGGAAAGGCAGCATTTTTTATCTTGTTCTATAATTTAAGATCGATGGATCGACCTATGTATGTAGAGCTTCTTTCACACCGTACGTAGCCAATTGTAAGGGGGAAGGACAAGGAATTAAACACAAAACTCACTTCTAAAGAAGTGAGTTTGTCAATCGAGATGATGCAAAAGTGTAAAGCTCCAGTGGATTCCTAATATCGGCAGGAAGAGCGTTCCAAACGGCCGCAAAAGCGCATCTGAAAGCGCGCGCGATGCGCCGACCTCCAACCTTGCACGGTGACTGTGATGCCGTGCGCGATGACGTCCTTGTCCTGGTCCAGCAGCCTCAGCTCACTCATCGCCGCCGACAAATTGGACGCCTCCGCGTGCAGCCGGTCGGACAGCAGAATCTGCCGCGCCCGCATCACCCGCAGGTTGAAGCCCACCAGGGTGGCGGCGTGGGAGACGCGTGCCATGTCGGCCCACGTCACGCCCGACGATTCGGAAGCGCCGCTCACCACCTCGCTCAGGTACAGGGCCAGGCTGGCGAGGTGCTGCTCCGTGCCGTTCATGCTGATGCGCACGTTCTGCACCTGGCGTGCGCGTGTTTGGAGGGAGAGAGAGACGGGGGGCGGTAGCGTCACCTCCACCGCTGGGCGGCCGCGTTGCCTTTGAATGAAATTCGCCCGTGCACGGTCAGTTCCACGGTAATGGAATTTCAGACTAGGGCAAGGAGCCTGACAATTACACCTGAGCATTAATTGGAATTTATTATGTATATGTTTATATATGTGTCCTTTCTCTGCACCTCCGATTAGCAAGGTTGGCTACGTATGGTGCGAAAGAAGCTCAACGTACATACGTGCATATACAACACGCATTTCACTCACACGATCCGATTTACAGATCATCCTGCATCCAGCTGGCTTGCTGAAATAGGCGGCGGGATCGAGTGGAGTTGCCCGCTCGGTGCAAACCGAATCCAATTTTACTGTGAATTTCACGCAGCTCCTGTACTCCCTTCATTCAGCGAGCGTGCAATTGTCGAGCTGCACGGTAGCAACCTCCAGACGGACAGTACAAGTAAGAGAGACAATACAAGCAAGACGAAGGAAATCACACGATTTCTTTGTTTTACAGAATCGCGGGCCCAAATCTGAACGACTCACCACGTCGCCGGCGGTGGGGCGGGTGGACTGGTGAGACCGGTGATCGGCAACCGAAATAACAAGTAGATAATATTTTTTTTCGAATTCGGTAAATAAAAACAATAAATATTTAAAGGGCCGCAATGCACGTGAATAACGCCACGGAGCAGCTCCTTAACGAGCCGCTGCATGCGGATCCAGGCCAGCAGGTTGCCGACCCCCCCCCCCCGCCCCGGCGAGAGGCTTTGCCGCGGTCCCAGTTGGCCTCACTTACTTCCAAGTCCTGGATCTCCAGGCGCGCGTGAACACTCTCCATCTTCACCTCCATCTGCTTCTCCGCGTAGCGTAGCTGCTCTGCCAAGTCCTACGCACATGGGGAATGTAAACCTATTAAAAGCCTTTTTTTTTTTAACCAGGTAAGGCCCACTGAACTGCTATTTCAGTCATACCTCGGTATACGACCGCTTTGGAATACGTCGAATTTGGTACACGTCGTGTTTTGACAAGAAAAAAATGTCTTGGGATACGACGCCTTGCTTGGGATATGACGCCTTGGGATACGACGTCTTGGGATACGACGTCTTGGGGTACGACGTCTTGGGACACGACGTCTTGGGGTACGACGTCTTGTGATACGACGTCTTGGGATACAACGTCTTGGGGTACGACGTCTTGCTTGTGATACGACGCGCTTGCTAGAACTTGTATGGGTCGGGATGAGTCGCCGCGTCCCCGCGTATACCCCGTTCACGACTGAGACAAAGCGCCGCTCCTCAGTCAACAAGCCGCTACAGTATTGTGTGGAATGACCAGACAATGTCACACTTCAGGAACATTCTTAGAAGAAGGCAAAAAATAAACTTCAATGGACAGGTTTTTAGTAAAACTCAAACCTGGTGAGCCTCAAGCAGGTCCAAGTCAAGAAAAAAGAACGAAAGAGAAAAAAACCTCCAGAATTTCAGCTTCCTGAAGTTTTAATAGCAGGGGACTCTCCTTCCAAAAAATAACATCTCCTCCTCCTCCCCTTCCTCACCACCGTCCTCGTAGGCTATCAACTCCTCTCAGCAAGGTAAAGTGATGTTATTTTTATTTCAATTTATTTTAATTAATTGATGCATTTATTTTAATTTATTTATGCATTCATTTTAATGTACGTACGCATTTTAGTAATAAGTAGTGTCTACATTATGTTATACAACCCCATTAATGTATAATATGCCATATTAAATATTATTTCTTATACTCTGAAACTGATTATTTGCTTTGCCTTTATTTCTTATGGGAAAAATTCGTTTGGTAGACGTCATTTTCGGTGTAAGTCCTCCTACCTTCTGGAACGAATTAACGGCGTATACCGAGGTACCACTGTAGTTCTTTTTCACAAGTGACCTGACCCTAAATCAGAGCTCAACGAAGTGGCTCATCGTCACGTGGAAATTTATAGCAGCCAGATATTCTGAACGCACAATGTTTATTTTAAATGTGGAGGGAAAAACCGGGGGACCCAGAGAAATGCCACACCACCACGGGGAGAGAGACACGCAAACTCCAAATATACAGCAGCAGGCGTCAGGGTCAGAATCGATCCCACAACCTCCTGTATACGAGGCGAGGTAATTCACATCTCGCCACCGGGACCCTGAAATTCCCAGGCTGCTCAGGCGTAACACGAGGAGTTCCACCCATTCCTGGTTTTCTCAAGATCGTCCTCTTGTTGAGGTGGCCACCATCCTGGGATATCTGTTTGTGTTTTCCCGGTTTTTGTTAATTTAGTAATAATGGAAATAATTGCACGCAACTCAGGACCATGTATTCAGTGTAGAACTCGCCACTTCTGATATTGTGAGGTCTACTTCTCCCACGATATGTCCTGGTTATTCCACCTCTGAGTTGGCAACTAACTCTATGCCATCAGTGGAGCACTTTTATTAACTGGGACTGCCTGGCACAGCACGCGTCTGTGCAGCGTGGGAAAAAATACATCTATATTTATTTATATTTACTTGGACTACCAACAATTTTCAGGGCACCTCCTCAGAGACGCAGCTGAGCACAAGTCAGGGTTCCCTTAAGTGTCTGAGCTTTGGGAATGCGATGCTCATTCATTGCGCTTTGGATGTAGGATTTTATTATATTTTAAGGGATATTTCCAAAAGAGGACTTTATATGCGGGATGCAGGGTATCCTCCCTTTAACGCCTTGCCGTGGTGACCGTGGTGGCAAGATGTTAACTCTCTCGCCTGGTATGCAGGAGGTCGTGGGTTCTGTCCTAACGCTGACGCCTGCTGCATATTTGGAGTTTGCACGTCCTCCAGCCAGGGCAGCCCGAGGCTCGCGTCTCTACAGCAGCATCCGAGAGAGGAGCGTGTGGTGAGCGAGCGAGTGTGTGCGAGCGTCAGTGAATGGTGGCGAATTGGCGAGGTAGTTAACGTCTCAGCACGGTGGCGAAATGTTAAGTCCCTTGCCTGGTGTGCAGGAGGTTATGGGTCCAATCCCGACCCTGGCACCTGCTGCTGTATATTTGGAGTTGGCATGTTCCGTTTCCCCGTGGTCGCGTGGATTTTTTTCCGGATCCTCCGGCTTTTCACTCCACATTTAGAAACAAGCGTTTAGAGTATTTGGCTGCTATGAATTTCCACATCATAAGCCACTTCGTTGAGCTTACATTTGTGGCCAGGTCGCTTCTGAAAAACATCTACATAACTCAGTGGGCCTTACCTGGCAAACTGAACACATGGATTCAGCACAAGCCCAATGAGTATCATCCGTGACCGTTCCTTCAGGCCACCCCCTCTGACCACACGCACGATCCCACCACACCCACCAATCACACCGCGGATCCGCAACCGTCGATCCAATGCACGTATTGCGAGCGTGCCCGTCGATTCCCCTCGCACGTCGGTCACGAGCCTCACCTGCAGCGCTTCGTCCTGCGCGCTCGCGGCCGCCGACACGTTGACCGCGCGCTCCGTCAGCTCCAGCATCTCGGCCACGGCCGCTTCGAGCTCGGCGATGTGCTCCCTGGCGCTCGCCGACGTCTGTGGCACGCACCGCCGCGGGGAAAACGCGGCGGTGAATTCGCACAACGTCCGTTCAGACGACGTTCACCTCACACGGCGTTCACCTCACACGACGTTCACCTCACACGACGTTCACCTCACACGGCGTTCACCTCACACGGCGTTCACCTCACACGACGTTCACCTCACACGACGTTCACCTCACACGGCGTTCACCTCACACGGCGTTCACCTCACACGGCGTTCACCTCACACGACGTTCACCTCACACGACGTTCACCTCACACGACGTTCACCTCACACGACGCTCACCTCACACGGCATTCACCTCACACGACGTCCATTGTTATGTTGTTTGCCGACCCCTGGGCCCCTACCACAAGGAACGTAATGAACACCCCGGCCAAACCCTAGCTTCTACGTAGGCCGGCGCCTGCCGAGTAAACATCGAACGTTCGGCCAACACTGGGCATGCTCTTTGTGTTTAGTTGATGGTCCTTCCCCCGCACCTCTGATGAGCACGGTTGGTTACATTACGAGGGGAAAGAAGATCAACATAGTGTACAGACATACGTACAGTAAAACCTTGGATTGCGAGCACAAATCGTTCCGGAAACGTGTTTTGTAATCCAAAGCACTCGTATATCAAAGCACTCGTATATCAGTTGTGATCACGTGACACTCGGCAGACAATGCGTGTACACGTACTACTCGTATTGCAAGAACCTCGCTCGTTTATCAAATTTATATTTATTTAAAATGTTTGCTCGTCTTGCAAAACACTCGCAGACCAAGTTACTCGCAATCCAAGGTTTTACTGTACAAGGTTTTACTGTACAAGGTTTTACTGTACAAGGTTTTACTGTATGCGTTCAATCGACGGCCCGGATCGTTACACGTATCGCTCTGGGGCCGGGCGTACATTTTTCGTATTTTTTTGGTTTGCTAAGTGGAGGAAGGATCTTGAATCGTGAAGATGAACACGACTCTCCGCCAGAGACCTCTGCGTGACCGGCTACGACGAGGTGCAAGAAACTATTCTGAATGAAGATGATAACACAATAATAAAATAAAAACATAAAATTTGCAAAGCTTCACCGTGCGGTAATTCGCTCGTAGAGAGAGAGGGGACGACTGAGAGTCGCCAAGAGGAACCACAGACGAGTGGGAGAGGCGGCAGCAGCCACGCAGTGAGCGGGTGCCAAATTCCCTCACAAAGCTCTGCGGTCCTCTATATACAAAGCTGTTGTCGGCCGATCCATGAGGGAGAAAAAAAAATACGCAGACTGCGATAATTTAGCAACGTTACGGGAGACGGCGGCGTACTGAGGAAGACCGCACATGGCAATTGGCAACATTCACATGGAAAACACATTTACTGAGTTCATCGAAAGGCTGACAATATTGTGGGGGGCGAAGGAGGGGGGGGGGGGGGGGTGGAGGGGAGGGGCGGGCGAGTGGGGTGGGGAGGTGTAAATCGCCCGCTCCTTCACACGCTCGCTCCCTCTCACGACCTGCGCGGCGTCTCGGCTCAGCTGGTCGATGGCATCGCGCAGCAGCAGCCGCTCCTCGTCCTCCCCGCCGAAGCGCTCCGCTTGCCGCAGCGTCGCGTGCAACGCCAAGTCCAGCGTCGTCGCCCGCTGCTCGCCGCGCTCCAGCGTCTCGGCGAGGAAGGCGCGCGGGCCGGCCAGCCACTGCGCCAGCCGCGCCTCCAGGGCGCGCGTTCCCCGCGCCTCCTCGTCCACCGCTGGCTCTAGCTCCTCCCGCACGGTCCTGCGCAGCGACACCTCCACCCCTCACGGCCCACGGGGCAGACGCAGGAAGGGGGAAGCGAGGCGCGTCGCGACAAGGTCCGTCGCCGTCTTGGAAACCGCCGCTCCGGGGTCAGAGGGTCACAACGATGTCACCGCGTCCCGCCGGCTCGAGACCCGATCCCCCTTCTGGGTTCACGCTGCTCCAGCTGCGACTGCTGCTGCACTCACCATCCTAGAACGCTAGCGAACGTGGTGGAACTAAACTATAAACTATTTAATTTTTACCAGGTAAGAAGGCCCCACTGAGCTGCTAATTAGCTCTTATTCAGAAGCGACCTGGCCACAAATGATAGGTCAATGAAGCGGCTTATCGTGTGGAAATGTATAGCAGGCAGCGCGTGTTTATTATCGATGTGGAGGAACATATGTATGTATGTTGAACTTCTTTCGCACCGTGCGTAGACAGTGACAAAAACATCCACACGTCCACTGGGCGAACACGCAAACTCCAAATGTGCAGCAGGCGTCAGGGTCGGGATCTAACCGACGGCTTCCCACACACCAGGCGAAGTAGTCAACATCTCGCCACCGTGGCAAGATGTTAACTATCTCGCCATCTCACCACCACCCTCGCACACACTCGCTCACATTCGCACTCGCTCGCTCACCACATGGTCCTCTCTCAGACGTCTCGAAATGGGGTGGGAAAATCTGGAGGACCCGGAGAAAAAAATCCCGGCGAGCGCAAGGAGAGGGACAGAGAGAGAGAGAGAGACACCACTAACTCCAAATATACGGGAGGCGTCAGGGGTCGGGATTTAACCCACAGCCTCCCGCGTTACCAGCCGAGGCAATCAACATCTCTCCGCCGCCGGCACCGCGCGGCGCAATCGTACTTTTTGCGAGGTCGGGGTCGGTTTGCGAGGAGGCGGCGGCGGCGGCGGCGGCGCTGAGCGCGGCGGCGTGCAGCGCCCGCACCGAGGCGCTGGCGCCGGACACCGCGGAGGCGAGCTCGGCGTTCAGCTTCACCAGACGGTCCAAGCTGTCGCGCTGCTCGGCGCGCTCCCTCGCCGCCAGCTTGTACCGGCGCAGGTGGTGCGCCACGCCGCCCAGCTGGGCGCGCACGTCCGAGATCTCTGCCCCCGTGTCCCAGCCTGGGGGCGAACGCGGGCGGCGGGGCCGGGGCGGGGTGGGCGGGACGCGACGTCGCGTGAGAAATGAACCGCATCGTGCTCACGAGTATTAGTCATTATAATTTAAGAGATGTTATCATTTTTTTTACTCGGGGTGGCAACACTGAGTACGATACTCTTCCTTTGACGTCGCCTGATTGACTCGGTTCTTCTTTTGTTGTTTTTGTGCTTTTTGTTTTGGTGCTTGGCAGTCGTAGGGTTTTCATATGCTCGGCGTGTGTATGCGTGTGTGTTGGGCGTCTTTGCCGCCGTACGTAGCCAAACGCTTAAATGGGATTTGGTCCTAATGTATCATTACTGCGCGGCGTTGTGGGATGCTGTTGGTATGAATGACGCTATAAAAAACGAAAGTATTATTATGATTATTCCGGAGGGTCATGCTACATTGGGACGTTTGGGCCGTCGGAAGAAACCGGAGAACGGGGGGGGGGGGAGGGGGGGGGGTGGGGAGATCGCAACGCCCGGCTGCTGCCGCCCCCTCCCCGCACGCTCGTGCGTCCGTGGTCCCTCGGCGATTGCGAGAGAAGCAATTTGCGTGAACGACGGTGACGCTGCTCCACATTCTTAACACCGTGAACACATCTTGGATTCGCGTTGTCTCGAGGTGTTAATCCGGCAGCCCGCTGTCGAAGAAAATTACTGTCTGTCCTGTCAATGCAAATGTTACCGAGCGTTCTAGCGATTTTAACGCACCCTGGCAGGGGTCCACGAGTTTGACAAACCCTCGGCGTGACCCACCAAAACCTCGCCTCCCAACGCGCTGGTGGAGCCACGGGACCTGCGCCACCGCGCGGGGCCCATGGCGTCGTGGCTGTGGCATTCCGCCTTCACCAATGTAATCGGCGAGCGGCTAAAACAACGGCGAGCGGCTACTTAAGCAGGGAGTATTCCAACCGTCCATGCGTGGTTCCCAGAAGCAGACCTTGCAGCAGCGAACATTGGCGACCACACAGCATTGACGAGTCCTAATAATGACGAAATCGGTCCACCGGTTGTCTGTCTCTGCAATGCTGATGCCGCTGTCAGCCGGGTCACATCTCAAACGCATTTCGATGGTGACCTCCAACAAGAGGACCACAATGCATTTCTTCAGGAACTGCCAACGGTTTGCTTGGACGACGCACAGAGGCCGGGGGCTCCGTCCGCACACGTTGCGCGTTGTTCAGAACGTGCGCTTACGCAACGACGGAAACGTCGCTCTGCGTTACCGCGTGTGAAAGCGACGCACGGGGGGGGGGGTTGGGGGGGGGGCAGGGGGGGTGCACGCGATCATCGGGGGTGGTTCTCGGCGCTTTGGCACGCCACGAGGGTACAGCGCTGCACCTGCTCCGAGTTGACCGAGACTCAGCTCCACTCCGTCCAGCCGGCCCCTGGACTCGTCCCGCGCGGCCTGCAAGACGGACGCGGCGCCGTCGGCCCTGCGCAGCACTGCAATCCACGCGCAAAGACAAAAGTCCCCCATGTAGCCTTCAACAGACTGTTGGGGCAAGTGCTGCTTGCGAGTAGAAGGGCCGACGAAGGCCGGCACTGTGTCACGTGACATGGTGCCTGGCCAGCGCCACGCCCGGCCCCCTTCGTCTTCCGAGTCGGAAAACGTTCACACACAACACAAGTCATGACATCATAACATTCGACATATAGCAGTGGTATATATATTTATGTTTTATACAGTCTCTGCGTACCTGAGGACGTCAACAAGAGCAGTCACCACACGGGAGGTCAATTACTGCAACAACACAGGCCTTTGATCTCAGACGCACGTGTTATACCTCTGCGACATATGGCTCATTGCTGATATGAAAAAGTGGCTTTTTTTTACTTTTTGCAACAACAACAAAACCATCAACCAATTAGGACTACGATACGGGCAAAATGTTCCGTACGTTTTTTTTCTCTTTGCCCGACGAGGAAAGAACGCTTTTTTGTTTAAACCACCGCAAAGTCAAATGAACTCAAACCAAACCGTGCACGTGGTGCCTGCGCATTCGTTATCCCGGGCGCGTCAAACCGTTGGACTCGTTCCACCAATCAAAGCCACGTTTATCCGTAAGGGGCCGTCCATAAATGACGTCACGCGATTTTCGACGATCTTTTACCCCCCCCCCCCCTCGTCACACGGCGTCACAAAAAGTCAGACCCCGCTCAAATATGACATCACAAAGCTCTGCCCTCCTCCCCCCCCAAAAAAAAACACGCTTCAAATCGCTTTAAACTATTGTCATTGTAGTGCGTATTTAATGTGGCGCTGCACTCTGATGTTGTAGGAGAAAACATTTATTAAAAAGTCGATTTCATTAAGTACAACGTGTTGTCTATATTTATTTAAAGTTGCGCATTTTGATGTGACGTCACATTTCTAACCCCCCCCCCCCCCCCCCCTCGTCACACATCGTCACAAATGTCTGACTCCCCCCCCCCTAGGTGAGTGACGTCATTTATGGACGGTCCCTAACCGTGGATAATTTACCTTGAACGTTAACGGGCCAAAGCAGACTTTTTTTTTGGGGGGGGGGGCGGGGGGGGGAAATGCCCGCAGCCAGACGAAGACGCCTTTACGACCCGCAGGGGAGTTCAGTTTCATTGCCCGAAGCTCGCAGCTTAAAGGCATCCTTCGAATCTCGGCGTTCGCAAAGTTAAACCAAAGCACGGAGCATAATGCGTGACCCGGCGGGTCTTTTCCAGAGTTTCCCCCCAAGCTGTGGAATTCACTTCCATTGAATATTCGATCTGCTGAGTTCCTAGGTTTATTTAAATTCCGCCTTAAGACATTTTTTTTTACTTCAAGGCATTTTCTCCTGATTAATTTGGTTCTGTGCTTTGGGAGTGTGGAGGTGGGGGGGCGGTATTTGTACCCGTGGTTAAATCATGAGCGTGCGCCTTGTGACCTCTCGTTGAAACGCGCTAAGTGTAACTTATTATTATTAAAGTATTAAATCATTACTTGCATCTCAAACTAATTTCTTCCTTGAGCCTCGATGCTGCCACACCTTTTGCTCTGTCTTTTTCGAGTCGCACGTGTTCTCGTCACGTACAGATCACCTGTACTTAACGTTTTTTTCTGGTGCTTTTTGCCATCACATTCTACAGTGAGAGAAAAAAGTATTTGATCCCCTGCTGATTTTGTACGTTTGCCTACTGACAAAGAAATGATCAGTCTATAATTTTAATGGTAGGTTTATTTGAACAGTGAGAGACAGAATAACAACAATAAAAATCCAGAAAAACGCATGTCAAAAATGTTATAAATTAATTTGCATTTTAATGAGGGAAATAAGTATTTGACCCCTCTGCAAAACATGACTTAGTACTTGGTGGCAAAACCCTTGTTGGCAATCACAGAGGTCAGACGTTTCTTGTAGTTGGCCACCAGGTTTGCACACATCTCAGGAGGGATTTTGTCCCACTCCTCTTTGCAGATCTTCTCCAAGTCATTAAGGTTTCGAGGCTGACGTTTGGCAACTCGAACCTTCAGCTCCCTCCACAGATTTTCTATGGGATTAAGGTCTGGAGACTGGCTAGGCCACTCCAGGGCCTTAATGTGCTTCTTCTTGAGCCACTCCTTTGTTACCTTGGCCGTTTGTTTTGGGTCATTGTCATGCTGGAATACCCATCCACGACCCATTTTCAATGCCCTGGCTGAGGGAAGGAGGTTCTCCCCCAAGATTTGACGGTACATGGCCCCGCCCATCGTCCCTTTGATGCGGTGAAGTTGTCCTGTCTCCTTAGCAGAAAAACACTCCCAAAGCATAATGTTTCCACCTCCATGTTTGACGGTGGGGATGGTGTTCTTGGGGTCATAGGCAGCATTCCTCCTCCTCCAAACACGGCGAGTTGAGTTGATGCCAAAGAGCTCCATTTTGGTCTCATCTGACCACAACATTTTCACCCAGTTGTCCTCTGAATAAATCAGATGTTCATTGGCAAACTGCAGACGGGCATGTATATGTGCTTTCTTGAGCAGGGGGACCTTGCGGGGGCGCTGCAGGATTTCAGTCCTTCACGGCGTAGTTTGTTACCAATTGTTTTCTTGGTGACTATGGTCCCAGCTGCCTTGAGATCATTGACAAGATCCTCCCGTGTAGTTCTGGGCTGATTCCTCACCGTTCTCATGATCATTGCAACTCCACGAAGTGAGATCTTACATGGAGCCCCAGGCTGAGGGAGATTGACAGTTCTTTTGTGTTTCTTACATTTGCGAATAATCGCACCAACTGTTGTCACCTTCTCACCAAGCTGCTTGGCAATGGTCTCGTAGCCCATTCCAGCCTTGGGTAGGTCTACATTCTTGTTCCTGACATCCTTGGAGAGCTGTTTGGTCGTGGCCATGGTGGAGAGTTTGGAATCTGATTGATTGATTGCTTCTGTGGACAGGTGTCTTTAATACAGGTAACAAGCTGAGATTAGGAGCACTCCCTTTAAGAGTGTGCTCCTAATCTCAGCTCGTTACCTGTATAAAAGACTCCTGGGAGCCAGAAATCTTTTTGATTGAGAGGGGGTCAAATACTTATTTCCCTCATTAAAATGCAAATCAATTTATAACATTTTTGACATGCGTTTTTCTGGATTTTTTTGTTGTTATTCTGTCTCTCACTGTTCAAATAAACCTACCATTAAAATTATAGACTGATCATTTCTTAGTCAGTGGGCAAACGTACAAAATCAGCAGGGGATCAAATACTTTTTTCCCTCACTGTACTTGCGCTGCTCTTTTTGTCGACTCGTGCGTTCATCGATCACAATCATCGAATACCTCGTTGGTTAATTGTGCAATAATCCTCTTAAAGACGCCCGTACTAGCGAACTCCACTCCCCTATCACCCCCAGGATGCCGTAGAACAGCGGTCCCCAACCCCCGGGCCGCGGACCGGTACCGGTCCGTGGCCCGGTACCGGTCCATGACCCGTTAGGAACCGGGCCGCACAGGAGCAGGAGGTGAGAGCGGTGAGTCCGCGCGTGGCCCGCCCCATTATTTTATTATTTACCACTTCCATCCGCGCCTCTTTCCCGCACTGCGCACTTGTCTCATTCACAGTTTTGGTAAAGCCCACAAGCTCTAACCCCAGTAGCCACAATGAGTAACAAACAAACGTCGCTGGAGAGCTTCTTTGAAAAGGGGGAAAGACCCAATGATGAACCCCTCCCCCCGGTCCGTGAAAAAATTGTCTTCCACGAAACCGGTCCCTGGTGCCAAAAAGGTTTGGGACCGCTGCCGTAGAATGGTTCCCAACAGTAAAACCACACGCCGTACGACTCGAGACGATTATTATTATTATAACAACAATTATTATTGACGTCAACACCACTGCAGCCTCGGGCGGTGCTCTCTCGCTCCGTATCCACCAACTGGGTTGAGGTGACTACGCGTCGGCTCTGCGCGTCTGTGAGAATCGGCAATTAGAGATTTTCTTGCCAAATTAAAAACAAATTTCTCAACGACTTTTTAAATTCTCTTATATATTCGTCTCTGTGGAGGGGGGTGGGGGTTGTTAAGAGAGAGGAGCGCTGCAAATGAGACGTATGTGCTACAGGAGAAGAGGTTATCAGAGATTAAAGTAAATAAACCCCAGGACATAAACCCCCAGGGGAGGGGGGGGGGGTACCCCCACCGGTACAGCGGGCCGCTCTGTTATGATTACAGCTATCAGAGGAGATGGTTCAGGACGCTTCCCTCATCCCCTCCCTATCGCTAACCGCATCTCTGGAATACTCAACCGCTCCACCATCATTGACTGTCCCCTGACCCGGTTACCAGGTCGGTGCTAAGCGCATATTCAGTTCGTTTCAGTGCTCGCGACTCAATTCACCTCCGCTCACTGCATTTTTGTAGTTTTATATATCTATATCAACCTCGCGTAACGCTTCTGATCCGCTTATGATTAAAATGATTAAAATCTTAGCGTAAACACCGTTAAAATATTAACGCAAACTACGCACACACACACACACACGCGCGCGGTAGTGTAGCGATTAGCATGCTGCGCTATGAACCTGGCCAACACCCAACACCGGTGATGATTATCTGAACCGGTCCTGGGCCCTAGGTCGACTCAGCCTCAAATGATTACCTGGTGCAATGTGTTAACATGGCCACTAGGGAGACAAAGGCGACCGGGCGTGGTGTTGGCCACCCACCCCCCTCGTGTGCCGTGCCGGCCTTTAAAGGTGCTCGCTAACAGCACTTGCCCCTACATTCTGTTAATGCTATACCGGGGGATCTTTGTCTTTGTGCGCACGTACGGCCATTTGTCGATGCATTGCTGGGAGACAGCCCCTACCCACGGCGTGCGGGGTCATGGGATGGGGGCGCTTGTTTGACCGCACTTCACCACGCTGGTGAAGTGCGGGGTTTGGTGAACGCACGGGAGCCGCAGATGTGGAAGCGCCAAAGCGCGCAAGTTCAACGGTGAATGTAAAACACAGCCACGTGTTCCCCATGCAGATTACAAAAAAAATTGTATTTAATTTCTCTGTCAGCCTATGGAGGGGGTATCTGTGCCAATGTTTTACGGCTACATTCCGCCAAGTTTGGCTAAAAGCTCCCAGTGGCTCGGAGTTGCTCTCGACGCACGGCACTCCGAGACCACCCCCTCCCCCCCCCCACTCGACAGAGAGAGATGGATCCTCGGCCACTTCCATCGGTATTTTCTCTTCCATCGTTACAGAATATCGGTCGCGAGTGATACCAGAACTGACCCTGGGTCACTCCCCCGCCCCGCACCCCCTCCCCAGCCCCCCCCCCCCCCACCCACCACCCCAGCAAACATGGAACATTGAGCCAACTTGGTCCAGCGATTCCAACCACATTCCAAAGTTGGTCCAACGGTTCCAAACACGTGGCAACGTTGCCCCCGACGAGGTCGGCTCGCGTGCGGCGGCGAGCGAGGTTACGGCACCGCGAGAGCGCGAGGGCCGGCGGCGACGTGGGACGGCCTTCATGCACAGCAGCGGATGGAACGTGGCGTCGGCGCCGCCCGTACCGATACAGGCGAGGGCAGCGACGGCCACCGCCAGGCCGGCGGCCACCGGGTAGAGGGCGGAGATGGAGGCTCGCAGCAGCTTCTGGGATCGGCAGCCAGGGCAGCCCGAGGCTCGCGTCTCTGCAGCAGCATCTGATAGAGGAGCGTGTGGTGAGCGAGTGTGAGCGGGGGAGTGTGGTCAGCGAGCGCGAGCGAGTGTGTGCGAGCGTGAGTGAATGGTGGCGAATTGGCGAGGTAGTTAACATCTCAGCACGGTGGGGAAATGTTAAGTCCCTTGCCTGGTGTGCAGGAGGTTATGGGTCCAATCCCGACCGTGGCACCTGCTGCTGTATATTTGGAGTTTGCATGTTCCGTCTCCCCGTGGTCGTGTGGATTTTTCACCGGGTCTTCCGGTTTTTTCCTCCACATTTAGAATGGACATCGATGTATTAGAGTATTTGGCAGCTAAACATTTTCCCGTGATTAGCCACTTCGTTGAGCTATCATTTGTGGCCAGGTCGCTTCTAAAAAAAAGAGCTATATAGCTCAGTGGGCCTTACCTGGTAAAGTAAAAATAGTTGTAATAGTTTATATAAGCGGGGTCCCCTGCCCAATTTCCAACCCCCTCGCCCCCACCCCCCATCTTCGTGGTGCCCGGTGCAGCCGCACCGCCTGCACACTCGATGGCTATGCCGCCGATTCAGTATAAACGCTCTCCGGGAAGTCCACTCACCCAGGTGTTTCCAGGGATAGGTTTGCATCTCTTCCCCTTCGCCCACGTCATCTGCAAGCGCACACGCGCGGGGGGGGGGAAAATCCCATCAGAGAACGCCCATCCCCCATGGGCGTGGCGATTAAAATTCAAGGCTCGGTTCATTTTCCTCTCTCGTCCATCAACACAAACGTAACATGAGCACATCGCTTGCATACAGTCTGCGTGAATAAAAAAATAATTGGTCCATCGCGCGCGCGCCATTCAATGCGCGTGTGCATCGTCAACTTGAACGCATCCGACATGCCATTGTTCAGGGCCTCGTCAGTGAACCGCTCCACCGTTCACGCCACCCGACGGAACACAATGCACGGTGACCCCCAGGTTTCCGAGGTCATCCATTTGGCCCCTCCACCAACAACGCTGCGGTCACACTCAAAGAGTCCTTCGTCAGGAGGGCCGTATTCGAGCACGTACAACATTTGCCCATTGTGATGATCACCTCACCCCCCTGGCCTATTACGCATTGGCAGACTATTGCATGCCTATTAAATATCTCTTCTTTTTTGATTAATTGCATTCGCTCGCGGCGATCTTCGCGCGTGACGAAGACCGATAATGCGTTTACGTTTTGCTCGCGACGGGAGAATGGACGTCAATCGGTGAAATCCGCGGATCGGTGAAAAACCAACGCTCTCGAAATCTGTGTCAAGCACTTGAATGGTGAACGTTGACCCTGCTAAGGCATAGCAAGACGGACAAACAGCGAGAGATGGTGGGAGAGCCATCGTGGACCCGACAGTGGCTCACGATGGCAAGTACAAACACCGCTGAAATGCGATTAATTCACCCTTCACTTGAACGCGTGAGCCGCTTTGTTTATTTTGCTTGTTGAGTTTTGGAGCCAGGCTCTGCCAGGATTGGGCAAGGACCACAACACCGCCCCTCTTCACCCGGGCTACAACAACACCATTACATATCTTTAAGAAAGCACTATAAAACAAATGAACATACAATTACAGAAAATGTATTTAATGCTTTTTTTTTACCTTAAAATCTTATCAACGCTTCTCGTACCAATCTAGATTTGAAGTTTTGGAGCCAGGCTTCTCGTACCGTCTGGGACCCATATCCCGTGTGAAGTTTTAAATATACTCAATAATAAACGTGTATGTACCCGACATAAGTGTATTGTTGGGGGGAGTGGTGGCACAGTGGTTAGCGCACTGCTGCTATGAACTTGGCAAATTGAGTTCAGAATTCCCGACTGTGGGGCGACATCAGTGGCGAGTGCGATCTGATCTCACCCAACCGATGCCAGACCTTCACCAACCCGCATTGACCAGCGTGGTGAAGTATGGCACAAACAAACCTCCCTCCCTCCAAGCCCCCCCACGACCAACACAGCGTGGGGAGGCCCTCACCCAACAGCGGCTGTGAACAACAACTAAATATACCACCCGGAGTTGAGGACACGAACGATAACGCCAAATCTCGCCGCACAACGTGGGGTCCATGACGCTAGCGCAGAACGAGTGGACAGCCCGGCGTAATGCGAAGAGTGATATTGTTTTCGTGATGTGTATTTTTTGTTTAATCCGTATAAACGGAGCGAGGAGTAGAATTATGCTTGGGGGGGGGGGGGCGGTGAGGGGCGCGAGACTGACGGTTCCGATAAAAGTTGCGAGCGGCGTGAGCGAGGACGCCGCAGCACAGAGCTCGAGAGCGAGCGGCAGGCGTCTGGGAAGGAAGTCGCCACGCCGTGACTTCAACAACGCTGGGGAGCAGGGGGGGCGGGGGGGGCTGTCCCCAGCCGCACGCCTCTCGATTCATCTTTGTTTATGGACAATATCACGCTGTTTATTTCGTGGGGTGAAACATCTCACGTGCATCCCCCCCCCGTTCAAAAACAACAATGACGCTACCGAAATGCTGACGCAGCAGCAGCAGCTCTGCTTTTGCAAGGTACACAGATGGGGGGGTGGCGGGCAGGAGAGGGTAGGCCTTGGCAGCCCGTCACCGTGTCCCCACGCGCACCTCGTCTGCTCCCGTCTATAAAACAGCGGCCGGGCAGGCGTGGCGAGCCTAGCGCGGAACGCACGCACCCAGCCGGTAGGAGAGTCCACTTCATAGCCTTGAGTGACTCCTTGCACAGATTCCTCGCGGAACGTCGCACGCTAATCCGGAACTGCGGTCGGGAATTGTGACTGCGACGTGGGTGCGCACGTGGGACTTCCTGCACGTGGTGCGGAGCCAACCGTGCGAATTGGATCGGCACCACTTTCGTCTGTCGTGAAAACATCTTTGTTGTTCTTTGGCTGTTCCTGGAATTTGATTGGACTTTACCACTACTGGGTTGCGAATCATTGTTACGAGCTTTTATCATAGTTTGTCTGCATTCTATCTCTATTGCGAGCGTAGTTGTCAGTATTATTATTGTTACGAGTATTTCCGATTGGATTTTATCTAGACTTGTGCGTAGTTACTTGTATGTACGGCGCGCTTGGAGATAGTTCAATGTGGAAGGCGCTTTATAAAATTAAACAGTCTGCATCAGCAGCAGGCCATGCTTTCCCACCTGATGACGGACGCTTGTGTTGCGCCCGAAACGTCGTGATTTATTTTATATTCTACCTACGTGACTTTACCGAAAGAACCAAAGAGTATGGATTCCTGCAGTCACGAAAGCTTCAAGTTAAGATATAAAATTATCATTAGCATATTATTAATAATAATAACATTACGCACACGCACTTTCCACGCAATCCGCTTGTGCTATCGGGCCATCACACAAACCCGACGCGCCAGCGGCCGGCCGTCACAGCGGCTTCCCGCTTCTATTTTTCGCAACAGAGAATCGTTCCTTTGACGGAGGGCGCGCACGCACGCACACGCATCGGTGCGCGGAGCGTGAACCACGGAACGCATTCCACCTCCTCCACCTCATCGTCGTCGTCGTCGGGACGGACCGGCTGTGCGTAGCTAAGAGACACCGCGGAGTGCCGTTCCATCGACTGGGAATTTTTATTCCACCGTTGCCAGCAAGGGGCCCCTCGGCAGGGGGACCCAACCCGTGAACCTCTCCTCCCACCCACCTCATTCCCATATCTCCCCACGGCCACATCTCCTCCTCCTCCTCCCACAGATCGGCAGGAACTCAAACGAGTCCCCAGTGCTGCGAGGTTTATGGACAAAGAATGAGGCCACTTGGATGTGCCCGAGCTCTGCTCTGCTGGCCAACACAAGCAGCACACTGGGCCCTCGGAGCATGGTTATTCAGCAAGCGCCGATCTTTCGACAATCTAAAGTCACCGATTCGAATCATTGATCCCTGTTAAATTTACGTAACAAACTAGGACCAATATTTAATCGAGAGGGCCCTTGCCTATAAACATCTGGCACTTCACCTGCAGCATTAGTTCAAGCAAGTCTGACTCTGATGATAAGACAATGGATGTCAACAACCCGGTCCAGAGTTTGAAACGTTGAACCCAAAGCTGCTGAAATTAGTGCCCATAGAAGGTCGTGTGGTTGATGGGATTTGTAAAAAAAAAACTTTTATTTTGTTATTTATATTCTCCACATACGCATGGAACATCATCGATTCTCACAGCACAACCAGCTGAAAGTATCGTGAGCGAATGGATTCATTATATTTGACTAATGACTGCATCGTTACACGGCCAGTTTCCACGAACCACGTGCAATAGACGCGAATCAGAAATTACCGATTCTTAAAATGCACGCGTAACGAGCTCATGAATCTATGACTCAATGAATCATAATGTTCCCGATCGATTATTACTTTTTTTGCACGACCCTCACGATCAAACAATCCCAGCTGCACCTAAAGCTGAGCAAAGGTGACGCCTGGATAGCACGTGACTCCTTGGGAACCAGAGGGATAGCGCAGGCTTCCACTGCGCGGTGGCCGGGGAGATGCTAACACAGCGAGTGGAATTTTTCAATCTGTGCGGAACTTGGAACGTTGTTCCCGGCTCGCGCGCGTGACTCTTCCCCAGCTACTCCGGTTTCCTCCCACGTAAAGCCAGACGCTCATTAATGGAATTGGCCAAATACCTCAATGTAGCAGGACCTCCCCTCGAAAGCAAACGAGTCTTGAGACTCAAATGTAAGGCATCCTTCGGTAAACAGCTACAGGATTATTTCCGTCCTCCCCATCCAACTCTTGCGCTGTGCACATGGTTCATGTCACTGTCTCCGTGCCGCCAAGATAAATGCATTCCTCATTCCAGGGTGTGCACGTGCGTTCGTGAGTGCACAAGCAGAGCAAGGCTCTCGGGGACCTGGGCGAGAAGTCCGAGTGCACGGGGTGGCACCTCCAGCGCAGGCCCGGGGGCTCCAGGGCTGCTCCAGCCGTGGCGTGTTTGTTTGTGGCCGCCGATGGAGAAGTCATCTCTCTCTGGCCACACACGATGTCTGCTGCTGCTGCTCTCCGTCAGCTGCGGGATCTAAGGAGGTGGTGGTGGGGGGGGGGGTAATACCCCCCCTCCTCTGCCCACCTCCCTCCCACCCCACCTTGGGAGGCTTCGATATCCGCCTCTGTTGTGCCATGGGGAGGCCCCAAATCGCCACGGCGCAGCTGCCCGTGAAGGGGTCGCCGCGTGTAAAAGCCTCGAGTTCAGCAGGGCTCTGCCGCCACGAGGTTGTTTGGCCAATTCCTCTCTTAAGAACGATTTGAACGCGGGAGGAAACTCCCCGTATCCGGAGAAAACGGATGGGTTCGTGAGCTCACTGGCAGTGCTGCCTACCTCATGGCCTGGGGTTAATTTACCCACTTCATGTACTGCCATCTTCCCGGCCAAACTGGGACCAATCCCCCACAGGGTTTTAGGAGTTTTAACAAAATCTCAGCGATCCGGAAACTCACGCCGCCCTTGGCTTAAAATTTAAAGAGGAAAAAAAAAAGAATGCACACCACATGGCATGTCCAGCCAGCACCCCCCACCCCCCACTGAGCCGTTGCCCAGGGGTCACGCTGTCAACAAGGCAGCGCTCCATTCCTCCCGCTCTCCATTTCTCTCGCTGTGCTTGTGCGGTGCAGATTTCAA